ACGCATAACTTTAGAAGAGAATTTGTCTTTTGAAGATAAAGGGGCGTCATCGACACCTTTCTCGTCATCACTACAAAACATTAATTAGATAGACTTGTTCTTTTCATGTAAATTGTTATGTGTTACAAGGAACATGATTTGAAATTTAAGAAATGTCGAGAAAAAACAAATTGGTTTCGTCAGCAGTATTATTTAAAAGAACATATGATCACTGCTATAAAAGATCTTTTCATCAGGTTTATTTTTTTATTTTTATTTTTTTTGGAATTGATGTACAAATTATTTAAATTATTCCCATCCATACATGATTTTCAAAATCTTTAAAAAAAGAGCTTTTCTAACAAAATGAAAATAATCCCCATTCCAGGTAAATATCAATAAAATTTTTTTGATAAAAATCATTTTACCATATATGTTTGATGGATATTAAATTATTTTTTAGTATTGGATGATAACTATTCTTATTTGGTTATTGATGAGAAGACAAATGAAGGTAAGTCAATTAATCAATTAAAATTAAATATCATATATCATATATCATTTAATCATGATTTAATCATTATCTCTTTCTTGACTACAAATAAAAATAAAGGAGCAATAGTTGATCCAGTTGAACCATCAAAAATTTTACCAGTTATTGAAGATAATAAAGTCAAATTGAAACATTTGATCACAACTCATCATCATCATCATCATGTACATTTCTTTTATTTATATATATTAATTAATGTGTTTAAATTCAAATCATTGGTATTTTTTTTTATAGGATCATTCAGGTGGAAATAAAGAAATGGTAAAGTTGGTAAAAGGTTTGACTGTATATGGTAGTGATGAATGTATACCCGAACTAAATCATCCTGTAAAAAATGAAGAAGAGTTTAAAATTGGGGAAAAAATTCAGTGCAAAGCATTATTTACACCTTGTCATACAAGCAGTAGTGTAAGTTTTTATGTTCAAGATGGTGATGATAAAGCAGTTTTTACTGGTAATTATTTTATCAATTATTTTTATTATTATAGTTTTCTTTTATTACAAACTTCATCTAACAATACCAATACTACTTATTATAGGTGACACTTTGTTTATAGGAGGGTGTAGTAAATTTTTTGAAGGAACAGCAGAACAAATGTACAATTCGTTAATTAAAACTTTGGGTGCTCTACCATCTGATACCAAAGTATATTGTGGACACGAGTATACTACTTCAAATTTAAGATTTGCAAAATCAATTGATCCCAATAACAAAACACTCTTAGAAAAATATGAATGGGCTACTCAAAACAAAATTACAGTGCCTAGTACTATCGATGATGAATTTAAGTTTAATCCTTTCATGAGAGTTGAACATGAAGACATGAAAAAAGTTGCTGGTGGTCAAGATCCAGTAGAAATAATGAAAAGATTAAGGGAAATGAAAAATGAATTTAAATAAATAACAAAAAAAAATTATTATTATTTCCTATATAATAAAATAAATAAATAAATAAAAACACAATTAAATAAATAAATTATTAAATAAATAAATTATTAAATAAATATTTATATATCAAGACTATATAATCTATTATGTCATTATAAATATTATGTAGTACTATTTATTTTGCTATGCCAGTTTCTTCATACTCATCATCATCCTCATCTTCTTCATAAAATTCATCTTCATTGATCAATTTTCCATTTGACTTTTCATTAATTGATTCTCCATTTTG